GAACAGGTACCAAATACATATGCAGCAGGTACCCAATCCATATGCAGAAGGTACCAAATACATATCCAGGAGGTACCAAACCAAATAGATATCTAGGAGGTACCAAATGCAGTAGGTACCAAATTTATATGCAAGATGTACCAAATGCCTATAGAACAGGTACCAAATACATATGCAGCAGGTACCAAATCCATATGTAGGAGGTATCAAATACATATCCAGGAGGTACCAAAAACTTATTCAGGAGGTAGCAAATACAGCAGGCACCAAATTTATATACAATATGTACCCAATGCCGATACAACAGGTACCAAATACATATACAGTAGGTACCCAATCCATATGCAGAAGGTACCAAATACATATCCAGGAGGTACCAAATAGATATCCAGGAGGTACCAAATGCAGCAGGTACCAAATTTATATGCAAGATGTACCAAATGCCTATACAGCAGGTACCAAATACATATGCAGCAGGTAACCAATCCATATGTAGGAGGTACCAAATACATATCCAGGAGGTACCAAATACATATTCAGGAGGTAGCAAATGCCTATACAGGAGGTATTAAATCAATATGCAAGATGTACCAAATGCCTATACAGCTGGTACCAAATACATATTCAGCAGGTACCCAATCCATATGCAGGTGGTACCAAATACATATCCGGGAGTAACAAATACAGGAGATATTAAATCCATATGCAAGTTGTACCAAATGCATATGAAAGAGGTACAAAATGCATATTGTTGAAGCATACCTACGGACGATAACTGCTATGTCACCAGTTCTATAAGTACAGTATACAGAAATACTATACGTGGTCTAGATTTAGAGATTCGTCTCCAGCTGTGATGGTCAAGCCCTCTGCCACCGGGCAGAGAGGATCTCCAGACGAGGCTTTGTCGAAGGGCAGTGTCTCGTCTCGGGAAACAGCTACCCGACCCCAGCGTTTTATACGGAGTCTACGGGGAAGTTCTGGCCGAGCCTACGGGCTCGGATACCCCACATTAAATTCCGCCTTGTTCCACATCTGACCGCGTGGGGCGGTTGGTAGATATCCTAGAGTCGAAGATTCGTCTCCAGCTGTGCTGGCCAAACTCTCTACCTCCGGGCAGAGAGGATCCCCCGACGAGGCTTCGTCTCGTCTCGAGAAACAGCAATCCAACCTCCTTTTATACGGGGTCTAGAGGTAATTTCTGGCCGAGCCTACGGGCTCGGATACCCCATATTAAATTCGGCCTTGTGCCACATCTGACCGCGTGAAATGGTTGGTAGATATCTTAGAGATTCATTGTGGAATTCATTTGACTCACTTCTAGCCGCTGGCGAATCTTATATGTGTTGTTCTTGTCCTAAGTATTATCGTACATTACCAACCTTCGTTTGATTATTCTATTCAGTAACCTTCGCTACATTTCAGCACATATGCAGCAGATGCCAAATGCATATGCAGGAGGTACCAATCCAATCTATGAAAACGGGGCCCCGAATTTATGATATAGGGCTTCCTCCTCTGCTAGATCTCAATTTTCATAAGGTAGTATCCATAGAAAATAAAACTTTTATTGTAATCTAATTATGTACATTAATAGATCATCATACTTATTATAAAACCCAGGTTGTGTGTGTGTGTGTGTGTGTGTGTGTGTGTGTGTGTGTCTGTACGTTTATATATTGGATCGGATTTCCTACATTTTTCAACCGATTTCAACAAAACTTCACAGGACTACGTAAAATTACCTTGCGGTGGTTCTGACAGCGCCAAAAATTGGAAAAACACAATTGTTTTTGCACGAAATCAATTTAAAAACACGATTACGAGGCATCAGGAGAATGAAAGGGGGACAACTTATATCGAGTTATACTTATTATAAAACCCAGGTTGTTTGTGTGTGTGTGTGTGTTCGTTTATATCTGGGATCGGATTTCCTACATTTTTCAACCGATTTCCACAAAACTTGACTTTTTTTGGCAGGTAGTGTTTCTTATTGTCTTGCACACTTTTTTTCTTTATTTTTACATTCAGAATGCTTTAAAAATTCCATTTACAAGACAATTGTTTATAATAAAATTCTATTCAATCGATAGAGACTCATAACGATTGAAAACAATGTTTTTGTTTGAGTTTGGATTTGACCAATTCGTAAAAAAAAAAACAAAAAAAAAAACTAATTAAGACATGCGTGTCCGTCAACCTAAAAACAATAATCTTTGTCAATTTTATTTTTCAGTCTTTATGATGGTCGATACTTGATCTATTTCTTTCTGCTACATCCCCGGGCAACACCGGGCTCTACTGCTAGTATGCAATATAGGCGAACAATTCAACTAGAAAAATTGAAAATGAATAAAATGCATCAAATTAGACACATATCATGTCTGGCTATATTTTTGAGATGAGGTATTGTAACTGTTTAAACTAGTTACATCAATCTGATTATTCTCATTTTTATTGCCATATTCACAACGTTTCAACCGTTGTACGCTCCGGCCTTCTTCAGGTGATATATATATATATATATATATATATATATATATATATATATATATATATATATATATGTAAGCAAATATATGGATATAGATGATGAAGAAAATATATGGAAAAAACAAACAAAATCCTAATATGCAATTATGCTGTTTTAATGTTAATATAACGTCAACGTCGGACGTTTCTGGGTCTAGTAGACCATCTTCAGGACATATTCAATAAAACATAATTAACATTAGACTATATTCAATTCAACATGAAAAAGACGATGTACATAACAAGATTAATGCTCGACAAACGTACAAATAAATTTTAGATTAAAATAAAATTCTTTTTCATTTTTCATTCAAATTATACGCTATTTTAGGAATACGTTTTCACAACATCGCCCACCTGACGCCGACGTGATCATATTGAAACGGAACGCTGATCTTGAAGGATTTCAGTTACCTGTTTGGATTAGTCTTACTCTTATGTCCATCGTCTTTTCATGTTGAATTGAATATAGTCTAATGTTAAATATGTTTTTCATGAATATGTCCTGAGGATGGTCTACTAGACCGAAACGTCTGACGTTGACATTATATTAACATTAAAACAGCATAATTGCATATTAGGATTTTTGTTTGTTTTTTCCGTATATTTTCTTATATATATATATATATATATATATGTGTGTGTGTGTGTGTGTGTGTGTGTGTGTGTGTGTGTGTGTGTGTGTGTGTGTGTGAAAATATATAGAAAAAGGAAAGAACTCGTTAGGTAAATAATCCAAAGTTCTTCAGTATTTTTGTTATTATTTTTTTAAAAAAACAGTGCTCGATACAAAAGTAGAGCATAAATATAACCCCAAATTAACCCCAACATTACCCTGACTTGACCCCTTTGAATGTAACTGAGATATTGATACAAATTATTAACCCTTACACCCCTTTTTTAAAATAATTGCTCTAGCCGTTACCATAGTAATTTTAATTTTAACAACGAATATGCTTATAAAAACGCGTAAATTTCAAGAATTAGTTATTCCAAAAAGCTAGGGTATGCATGCTCATTGGTCCCCTTTTTTTTTCTGTCCCTATTTTTCTTTTGTTTAATTCTCCATCCCCTCCCTCGTTAGGGGGTCAGTGATGTCAGTTCTCTGGTTGTTGCGGGATGACTTTCGTTTCGTGTGTGTGTTTTTGTATTTGTTATTGTGTCTAAATGAGTGCGTGTTTGTGGGCGTGCTTGTTTTTTTATAATGTTATAATCCCGCAATTATTTCGGCCAGTTAACTGATGTTTCTGCCACATTTAGGGATTTGGGGTTTTTTTTTTATTATTAACCCTATTTTGTTTTGTTTTATGTATATAGTTTTAATTCATATTGTAAATAATCATTGGGTTTTTTTTAAATGTTGTTTCCCCCACCCCCAACAGACATTGAAATGTACATATGGGGACTAGTTAGGTTTTCATAGAGAATTTGAGGTATTATGGTGGACGTAGTATGAAAGGTAGGAGTGAATGTGTTGTTTTGGTGATAGGCCTATTGTTGATATGTTTGGGTCCGTGTCTGTGACTAGCTAAGTTTAGAATTAAGACAGAAGAAGGCCGTCCTTCCCCAACCCCCTGTTTGGCCTTGTGCCACATTTTGTACAAACGTACAAATAAATAACTATTCCCAAAAAAATTTCGCTTGAAGATGGAACAGAGCTTGGTACTTTAATTCAATTTAATTCAAATAATTATATTGAAGTTTTCGGTTCTTGTTTTGAAATATGAGAACTCTTATGTAGCGATGGAATCATATTTTTAAATAAATAATTATATATATATATATATATATATATATATATATATATATATATATATTAATTTTGATTATAGGTGCGGTTCAATTTATAATTACATGAATCATTCATACAAAAACAAATATCGAGGTTAATGATTTAAATGGCGAGAATACATCTTCGCAAACAATATAAATAAGATACACTAACCCCGAACCTGTATATGAATGATATGATCCCTGTTTATAAATTCCAGTTGCATAAGGTCTTTTTAATTTTTTACAAGCTTTCGTCTGTTCCTACAGACAGCCACAGTAGGTTGCCATTTCTTTCCGCGGTAGACCAGTTGCCATCCAAGCCTGTCAGAGGGGGGGGGGAGAAGAAGAGGATTCATACCTTTCCCAAGGGTATTAGCACGTAAGTGAATGTAATGGATTCGACTGGAATTCGAACCCGGCTCTCCGATTTCCTCAATCCGAGTCGCTCTACTAGTTCAAAAGTGAATGTAATGGATTCGACTGGAATTCGAACTCGGCTCTCCGATTTCCTCAATCCGAGTCGCTCTCCTAGTTCAAAAGTGAATGTAATGGATTCGACTGGAATTCGAACTCGGCTCTCCGATTTCCTCAATCCGAGTCGCTCTCCCAGTTCAAAAGTGAATGTAATGGATTCGACTGGAATTTGAACTCGGCTCTCCGATTTCTCACCCGTATATTTATAAAACATTACTTACTGTTGGAGTATCACTGATAATTAATCCATGTCCAAATTTTAATTCAGCTCCTAGGACCACGTCATTTCCTTCTACAATTGTCTGGTTTAGGGTCTTTATAGTTGATTCCTCAAGGAGAGTCTTATTGTCATAAACACCGCCATTGGCAATAATTCCATAAAGTTTAGCAATCGCGCGCGCCGTGCCATGGCCGTTAAAACTTGAGCAGGGAATTTGACGGAGTTCATAATCTGTCAATGTGTCCAACTGAGTTATGACCTGAAATAACAAAATAATACTCTGAAAAGGATGTGAATAAACATTGAAATATTCCCCCCCCATAAAAAAAAATCTATTGCACTTATATGTTTATTTCAAATAGAATCATATATCAAATTTTCCAACATCCGTGCAAAAAAAAAAGAAAGAAAGAAAGAAAGAAAGAAAGAAAGAAAGAGAGAAAGAAAGAAGTCCAATGCTGTAATTATATGTAAATAACTGCCTGCCATCGCCAACGCAGAGAGACTATATAAATGACCAAACAGTAAAGGAGGGGCAGAATATGAAACACGAACATTGGCCGGCAGAGGGGGTCGTTCCTCTATCAAACAATATTGGCTCAAGTCAATATTCTCTAAAACTCTGTTGTTGCTCACATGTTCAGTCCATGGCATTCTCAGCATCCTTCTGTAGAACCACATTTCTGTTGCTTCAAGTCTCTTCTTTATCTGTGAGGAGATTTTCCAGCATTTCCTAAATTCATTCCATACAGGAGGAATGGCATTACAGAGAAAATCAGCACAGGAAAGATAAAACATAGAGATTATATAAGTGCCCAAACAGTAAGATGGGCAGAGTATTGTATTATGGCTGGCAATTTTGGCTCAAACCTCAGTGGGCCATCACTCCAGGCAGTACCTCCACTTCGAAAGAGGACTGGGTTTATTGCCCGGCACCTGAGGCAACCCCAAAATAAGGAAACGCTGCGTGGGTTTTAGTACTATAATTGAGTAGGTATGCATTGTTTTCCTCTGTCCCGCTTGCCTTCAATTTGTCCTGTGAGTATCAGATTTTCCAAACCTTCCTTCCTCATTACGTGTCCCAGAAAATTCAATTGCCTCTTCTTGATGTTTATAAGTTTTTGGTTTCTGTTAGTCCAGTTTGAGCTCTTATTGTAAATGCCATCGCCACTTCTACCCCAACAGTTTTCTTTTCTCGCACCTCCCACCTGTGGAACTTCCCTTTTTCTTGCTTCCTTTTATCTTTTTTACGTCAATTCTTTTATCTTCTTGAAAGCTTCTATCCTTCCTTCCCCTCTAAAAGTCTTTTCTCTCCTTTCTCAGTCCTTGAATACTAAGACAATGGTTAAAAAAAAAAAAAGGAAAAACTGTCATTTTTAATACTATTTTTTTCGGATATGAAGGTCCATGTTTCTCATACTTATTATAAAACCCAATTTTATATATGGGATCAGATTTCCTCATTTTTTCAAGCGATTTCAACAAAAACAAGTGTTTCTTTTGTTTGACTTTTTTCTTTATTTTTACATTCAAGAATGCTTTAAAAATTCCATTTACAAGACAATTGTTTATAAAAAAAATCAAAAAAAACAATGTTTTTGTTTGAGTTTGGTTTGACCAATTCGTTAAAAAAAAAAACTTATTAAGACATGCGTGTCCGTCAACCTTAAACAATAATCTTTGTCAATTTTATTTTTCAGTCTTTATGATGGTCGATACTTGATCTATCTCTTACTGTTACATCCCCGGGCAACGCCGGGCTATACTGCTAGTCGTTAATATTAGTCTGTATGCACTCAAAATGAAGGGTGTCCAGTGATGAACTCCCCAAAATGGCTAAGATTTTACGGATATTTGTATCATCGAGGAAGGCCGAAAAATTTATCGGCCAAAAGATGATGATATATGCGTGTAAGTGGAATGATAATGACTGATCTTAGACCAGGACTTGGAAATCTTTTGGAGAGAGTGGACTAGAAAGCTATTCAATGCCCCGGAGGAGGGTCAAGATATTAATGTCTAGACCTCAGACCGCTCCGCCCAGAAGGCTGCCTTTTACTGTTGAATCAAGTAAATATAACCGCTACTTCTACCCCGACAGTTCCTTTTCTCGCACTTCCCGTCTGTGGAACTCCATTCCTGGTAGCCTGACTTTATGAATTTATGTGTGCTACTAGATTGGCAGTTAGGCCCCACCCTTTTACTGTTGAATCAAGTAAATATAACCGCTACTTCTACTCCGACAGTTTCTTTTCTCGCACTTCCCGTCTGTGGAACTCCCTTCCTGGTAGACTGTCTTAATGAATTTATGTGTGCTACTAGATTGGCAGTTAGGTCCCACCCTTTTACTGTTGAATCAAGTAAATATAACCGCTACTTTTACTCCGACAGTTTCTTTTCTTGCACTTCCTGTCTGTGGAACTCCCTTCCTGGTAGCCTGACTTTATGAATTTATGTGTGCTACTAGATTGGCAGTTATGTCTCACCCTTTTACTGTTGAATCAAATAAATATAACCGTTGCTTCTACTCCGACAGTTTATTTTCTTGTGCTTCCTGTCTGAGGAGCTCCCTTCCGTTTCCTTACTTCCCTGATAACTACAATCTTCAAAATATAAATGCAATGTCAATCGATATCTTCTAACTTCTTGAGCCCCATTCAGCTGTTATTCAATTTAACCATTCCAATAAATTATATAATAGTGTAAATAAACAATTTAATAAATAAATAGTGTTTATTATTTTCGTTGCCAATTCCCAAGAACAAAGAAAATGTATAAATCCATTTTCGTATGTTGAGGTTTTATTAAAAGTCTTATCATCTCTTTTTAAAGCAAAAAAGAAAAAAATGACGAAGAGTGAATGAAGTTAAAAAAAAATCAATGTCATGCAAAAAAGAGACGGTTTGACACTGCATCTTATTGCAAGCATGTTTGTCCATTGTCTGTCTATATTTCTGAGATGAGGTATTATGTACATGGCACAGTGGATAAAGGCGTTGGTTAGATCCAGTGACGGGACCCAAAAGAGTGTGAGTTCAATACCCGGCTAAGGCAGTGGAGAACTTTCAGAGAGAAAATTAACAGGAGATAACTGACATCCATTAAAACATGGCACGTGGAACTAGAACAGACTACCCCAGTGAGCGAAATAAAGGGTTCAGTTCAACATTACAACCACCTGAAGAAGGCTGGAGCGTACAACGGCTGAAACGTTGTAATAAATATAGCGACAAAGATGAAGACAATAGTCCGAATAATGTAAATAATGTATTGTCCATGTTTGCCATTTTTTCCAATACCAAGAAGTCAGAACAGGTCCGTTTTGTCTCTGAGTAGCCAAAAAAAAAAAAAAATGCAATCAATGCCTACAATGAGTTTCCGTAGCCGCCATTTCTTTCTCCTTTGGACATTTTACACCGCGAGACACGTTTGAATCTTTGCTTGCGCTGGAGGTAAGTTATCTTATTCATGATTTTATTCTAGCATTGCAATATATATATATATATATATATATATATATATATATATATATATATAGATAGATAGATAGATAGATAGATAGATATGTGAAAATATATAGAAAATAGGAAGGAACTGGTTAGGTAAATAATCCAAAGTTCCTTAGAATTTTAGTTATTATTTTTTTTAAAATAGTGCTCGATACAAAAGTAGAGCATAAATAAAATTATTTATTTAAAAATATGATTCCAACTCGCGACATAAGAGGTCTCATGTTTCAAAACAAGAGCCGAAAACTTCAATATAATTATTTAAATTAAATTGAGTTAAAATAAGCTCTGTTCCATCTTCAAGCGAAATTTTTTTTGGAATAACGTATTTCTGAAATTTACGTGTTTTAATAATTGAAATCAAAATTTCCATGGTAACAGCTAGGGCGAATTGTTTAAATTGGGTAGGCGGGTGTTGGGTGTTAATAATAAGTATCAGTATAGAGTTACTTTCGTAGATGTCAAGTCAGGGAAAGGTGGGGGTGTCTAAATTTGAAACGGAAGATGTGTTAACCCTAGTCTGATTTGCGTGTCTATGGAGATTTATTTTTTTTATTTTATTTTATTTTTTTATGAAAGGGATTTGTGCATATAAAAAAAAAACGTAACGTTTGTTTTTTGACGACTTCATAAAGGGTTATCTTTTTTGTAGGGTATTTAAACTATTTATTTGGGCTATGGATTATGAAGGGTGTTATATTGTATGCTTGTTTTAGCTAATTATTCAACATGAGTTAACGGTTTTTTGTCGACATCATCAGATTCATGGTTTGAAATACGTTATTATGTCGCGTGTTGGAATCATATTTTTAAATAAATATATATATATATATATATATATATATATATATATATATATATATATATATATATATACAAGCGACCCCTGGGCCTCTTTGCGCTAGTTCACTACAGTTTGATAGCCTGTAGACTCTCCCACAACACAACCAGCCTTACCTCTTAGTAGGAAATGCACTCTTCCTATTTGGTAAGCCAAATTCTACCTTCAGACAATATAACAAGTATTCATTGGTCAATCACCTCCAATCTGGCTTGCTGATTGGTCAGTTCCGACCAATCAAACCACCTGCACGCGACCAAGCTGTTTTCCCGCTCATATGCTGCGAGCCACCCGGTGATTATATAAAGAGAAAACGTGTGAACCTTCCGAGGAGCAGTAATTACCAAGTTTCAAGATGTAACATTCACCGACTCCCGTCTTAGTCATTGCTGACCAGACGTTAAAGACAATTACCAACTTTATGCAGTCAGTAACACGCATTCACAGAGAACTTTCCAAAATACTCCACGTCACTACGAATCACGATTTTGCCGCGCAAAAAGATACATCGCTGACTCATACTCGATCAAGATTCAATCAACTCTGCGTACACCATTTCTCAACATTTGCTTATCTAAAGTGAATCAAATTCGCTACTTATTAAGTAAACTCTACGAATGAACGAGCTTAGAAAAATATTACAGTTAAAGGTAGATCACTATTAAAAAACTCTTTCTATAAGACACTTAATATCAACAATCGCAAATATCGACACAAACAAAAAAATACTCCAGATGAACGAACAATTACGAAGAGAGACATTCTGAAATCTGAAGAAACCGCATACACATTTCGCCTACACAACATACATCAATTATCCTGTCTGTATATTGTTTGATTTGTATATAAATGTTGTATTGATTTCTAATTAAATATGTCTCGTTTTTCAATTGCATTTTAAATTTCGTTTATCTATTTGTTTGGGGATGCAGAAAGTCACTCAAATTCCTTCTGATTCTTTCTAACATAATTAACAAACTCTGCACGTCCCCAACAAGCCTATATAATTAAAAATAGTGTACATCATTCAACTTGTAAAATTTTGACCAACTAAAAAATGGAACTGATACAACAGATTGGTAATAAATAAAAAAAAAATTTTCTTTACAAGGAAGCCATCACAAGCCTGTTTTTTTTTCCCTTCCTTAATAGCCATTTAAATTAATGACAGAGTACATCATTTAACTTCTAAAATCTTTTTTTCAGACGGAAGATGGTGCTAATACCACAGAGATGAGTAAGAATAAAATAAAAGTTGATCTTTACCGTAAAGTCAGCACAAGCCTTTTTTGCCATTGTTTGATAGCGTTTAGGATCAATGAGAGAGTGTATAATTCGATTCCAAAAACCCATATCAGACAAAAGTTGGAGTTGGTACCGGATAGGCTGGTGATAAAAACGAGGTACAATCCGATATTGTTCCTCTGTTGGAGTACCTTGGAAAAAGTCAATTCCTGTAATGAAATGAGGTAACTTTTTAAGCATTTCCTGAAGTTAATTATATAGTTTTTAACATATCTGCTGTTATATATATATATATATATATATATATATATATATATATATATATATATATATATATATATATATATATATATATATATATATATATATATATATATATATATATATATATTTATACACGTTTCATTAAATAATATAGACAACGATCACGAACGATCATTGGATGATCAAGACGTCCAGCTTCTCTCCCCGGGACATTATTTATTACAATATGAAGTGACTTCTTCCTTTTATAAAATGCAACCTTTTCACTTGTAACTAAAATACACACACACCAGTGCACAAAAATAAATTGAATGATTTTAATTTACAATTTAACATGCTTTTAGTGTTATTTCTATGTATGTTTTTAGTCTTGTGAACACGTGGCTATTTCTGCTGCTATGATGTGAGTGATCCCACAAATTTCCTCAACTTATTCTGATATAGTCTGTCTATATTTCTGAGATGAGGTATTATGTACATTATTTACATTATTCGGACTATTGTCTTCATCTTTGTTGCCATATTTATTACAATGTTTCGGCCCTTCAGTATCTGTCTATATTTCTGAGATGAGGTATTATGTACACTATTTACATTATTCGGACTATTGTCCTCATCTTTGTCGCCATATTCATTACAATGTTTCGGCCCTTCAGTATCTGTCTATATTTCTGAGATGAGGTATTATGTACACTATTTACATTATTCGGACTATTGTCCTCATCTTTGTCGCCATATTCATTACAATGTTTCGGCCCTTCAGTATCTGTCTATATTTCTGAGATGAGGTATTATGTACACTATTTACATTATTCGGACTATTGTCCATCTTTGTCGCCATATTCATTCAATGTTTTTGTATCTGTCTATATTTCATATTTATTTACAATGTCCATCTTTTTTGGCCCTTCAGTATCTGTCTATATTTCTGAGATGAGGTATTATGTACACTATTTACATTATTCGGACTATTGTCTTCATCTTTGTTGCCATATTTATTACAATGTTTCGGCCCTTCAGTATCTGTCTATATTTCTGAGATGAGGTATTATGTACACTATTTACATTATTCGGACTATTGTCTTCATCTTTGTCGCCATATTTATTACAATGCTTCGGCCGTTGTACGCTCCAGCCTTCTTCAGGTGGTTGGAATGTCGAACTGAACCATTTATTTCGCTCAGAACACATGGCACCGTGGATAAAGGCGTTGGTTAGATCCAGTGACAGGACCCAAAGAGTGTGAGTTCAATACCCGGTTAAGGCAGTGGAGAAATTTCAGATGGAAAAATTAATAGGAGATAACTGATAACTGACATCCATTAAACGTGGCACGTGGAACTAGAACAGTCTAGCCCAGTGAGCGAAATAAAGGGTTCAGTTTGACATTCCAACCACCTGAAGAAGGCCGGAGCGTACAACGGCCGAAACGTTGTGAAACATATGGCGACAAAGATGAGGACAATAGTCCGAATAATGCAAATAATGTTATTCTGATATATAAAAATTAGACATTGTTTTCCCATATAATGATTATGTAAATGGTTTTGTGGTATATATCGATAGTTTTTGATAATTTGTCTAAAATGTACTCACCAAATGGTTCTGCTATCTCCTCTCTGAAAATCTGGTCCAATGTTCGCTTCTTAGGGTCGGCTTTCATTATGAGGGCATCGACATAGTATCCCCACGTGAAAATGTGATAACCAAACTGTGTTCCTGAGAAATAAACAAGAGTTTAATGATTTTCTTTTCATAAACTCGGACGGCTCTCCGAGGGTCATAATAACTTGCGGGATGTGTTCAGATGGGGGGGTTTCTATTGCAATTACGGTTTTACTAGTTCCACAGGCTTTGAATTCAGAATTTTTTTTTTCTCTTAGGGTTGTTGTGCTCCTTGACGATTTAATGAGGTGAATATGCGTGATGGCCAACTATTCTGTTCGGCATTCTTTGAGTTATAATTAAATGCAAATGAACTATTTTAATTTGAATTGAAATTAAATGTAAATTAACTGCCTCACTGTTGTGGAGTATTTTCACAGTGGAGGCTTGTATTTCTAATAAGTCGTCCTAAATTAGGTCCGACGTACAAAACGTTAGGAACTTGGAAAATAAGAGTTAATGACGCCGCAAATCTAGTTGTGATGGTACTTCAAATATCCGAATCTCGACTGACGCGCTCAACACCGTTCAGTATTTATCGTTCCACCCACGAGGACCGAATATGGCACAAGGCCGGTTTTTTTATAACCTTTGAAGCCGATTAGACGGGTGGGTATCCCGGACGAGCCTCGTAGGTTCGGCAAAAAAAATAGCCGTTTGAAGCCGATTAGACGCCGTTCGGGTTCAGGCCCCATGGCACAAGGCCTCCCTCGGACGAAACGGGTTCAGGCCCCTTGCCCTTCGGCAAAGCTTCGGCGTCTCGTCCGGGTTCCTCTCTGCTAATGCAGAGAGTTCGACAGGAGGCGTGCGCAGTCAGAGACCGCGAGACGCCGTTCTGCAGACTTGCCACTGCTACTTCTACTTATTATCTATGGGAGAGTCCATTACAAAAGAATAGGTACTATGGCATAACACTCGCGAACATTTTATTGCAAACTAACTTAAACTGCGGACTTTTATGTGAAGTTGATAAGAGCAATCTCTCTCGAGTTGGTTACCGTCATTGTCGAAACTAGTCATAGCCAATCATACCACCGCTACATAACAGATGTCACACAACGGTGGTGGGGGTAAGCAAGAGAGGAGAGAAAGCCTCCAACACGGAACAGATACTACAAAGGCATCATCTACCCCGACGGGGAAAAACCCACTTCTCTTCCTCGGCTAATCCTTCCGAAAGAATCCGGAAGAAGAGCCCGAGATTTACTTGAACCGCCACTGAGCCAGATTGTGACACAAGGTCGGTTTTTAACGTAGCGACCCGAGTGTTTCCATTCGAGCCGCTGGTCTAAGATGGTCTCAGCTTGTTTAAGCTGGTCTTAGTCGGTCATAGCTTGCCTAAGCTGGTTAGAGCTTGTCTAAGCCAGTCGTAGCCGGTCATACCAGCGCTATGTAACAGATGTCACGCTGCGGTGCGGAGAACGCGTGGGAGGAGAGAAGGTCTTCAGCACAGAACAGATAATGCAACCACAGCATCTACTCCGACGAGAAAACCCACTTCTCCTCCTCTGCCAATCCCTCCGTAAAATCCGGGGTGGAGAGCATTATTTATTTGTAAAAATACAAAATGTGGCATAAGGCCAAAAAAAAAAAATCACGTTAAAAATTACCAAAAACAAATCACCGTAATGAAAACTTGGGAATCCAAAATTTCAGGATTGTGGACCCAGATCTGGCCCTGAATGTTTTTAATTTGCTCGTGGGGTCAGCCTGATTCCAAAATGGTATGTTATGTTTGGCTACAGCCTCCAGAAGTAAAGTTGAAAACGTGTGACACAGTGACACACTGACATTTTCATTTATTATATAGATGGCATATTTTTATTTCTCTACGTGGATGACAAATAAATTTAAAACAGGTCTTACCAAAATCACTCAGCCCGTCATATCTGAAACCCATATAAGATGAAGTAAAATATGTCTGAGGAAAAAAGAACTTCCAGGAATCTATAATATATCTCAGGTTAATCTTAAATATTAGATATTATTGACAATTAATGCTGTCTGTCAACTTTTAAGTTAAAAACCTATGAATAGGAACATAACACCAACATTCATAAATAGAAAACATAAAGTAACACAAGTCCAAGTGTCCAAATATCTTTCCGTCCTGGGTATGACGATAAACTACATCTGCGTCCCGGGTAAGACGATAAACTGCATCCGCGTCCTGGGAAAGACGATAAACTACATTGGCGTCCTGGGTATGACGATAAACTACATTTTATTGTTCTTTAAACTCGCAGTGTGACCCCGTCCGGAGGTCAGTACCGCAGATAGGTGGCAGGTAGGTTTAGTGATGTGTTTTATCGGAAACATAGGACATAAAACGAACTAACTCAAAGGTTGAGTTCCTTTCTTTATTTTCTTTAGAGCAGTAGTTCTTAACCTGGTTACGATCGAACCCCAGGAGGTCGCTGAGTCATTCTCAGGCGTTCGGCGGAACTCAAGACATGTCAGTGATGAATACCTCGACGGAATCTTCAACGTTTTGGTGTCACCAAATCATAGCGTACCCTCTTATTGATAAGAAAGCCTTTGAGATACTCACACCGTTGGTTACGACGTATCTTTGCAAGCAATCATTTTCGAGGATGGTAGACATTAAAATAAAGAAAAGGAACAGACTTTGTTGCAAAAATGATAGTGGCATCTACCAAGGTGAAGCTGCACATTTCTGAACTCGTCTCTTAAAGGCAACAGCAAAGTCACACTGATCTGCAGTAAATATTCATTAAGGTATGTTTTTGTTTTTGTGTGAAAGTCATTCTGTTGGTTTCGTTTTTTGAACATAGAGATTTTGTGTGCAATTGATGCAGGGTTCATTTGAGCACTAATAAGATATATACCTATATTTTGAAGAAATCATATTTTATTTTTCCATTTACGAATGCAATATGGAACCCTCACATAAAATTGTTTTTGTTTTTTAAAAACATTTCAATTCAAATAAGGTAATAAAGCCACTAAGACACGGGGGGGTGTACTAAAGTGAGAGAATATAAAAGAAATTATATTATTATATGTACTGGGTTCACCCTAAACCAGTGGGTCTTAATCGGGGTTTGATTTGCAGTAAATATTCATTATGCTTTCGTTTTTGTGTGAAAGTCATTGTTGCTTTTGTTCTTTGAAAATAGTGATTTGGGTGGGGGTTGTTGTTTGTTTTTTGGTTTGTTTTACGGCATACCAACCTTAATGAGTTATATAATGCCGATAAGATTTTTAGTGCTGGTAATTTTTTTTTTCTTCAAAAATGTATTGCTGGTATTAAAACCGATTTTTAAACATTCATAGTGGTTTGACCCCAGTTTGGGGGGGGGCAACTATTTGCCCATAGCTGGGACCCTAACAGGTTCTAGCACTCCGGGTTAGGGTGGATCTGGGAACACCCGCAATTAGGAGGTTGTTCCACGCTCCCCAAAACCTCCAAATCAGAGGCCTTGCTATCAGATGTAGTTTATCATGTTACTCAGGACACATATGCAGTTTATTGTCTTATCCAGAACGCGGATGTAGTTTATCGTCTTACCCAGGACGCGGATGCAGTTTATCGTCTTACCCTGGACGCGGATGCAGTTTAGCGTCTAATCCAGGACGAGTGATTTTGTGTGCAACTGATGCATAGTTCATTTGTGCACTAATAAAATATGTATATGTTTTCAAGAAATCATATTTTATTTTTCCAATTACAAAGAGTTCGATGTATGCACGGATGAAATATGCAAGCTTCAATAACTCCAACAAGGTTAAGAACTACTGCCTTAGAGTGATAAGTCCTTTCGTATTTAGCATAATATCGTTTTTTTTTTTTTTTTTTTTTTGTTTTTGTTTTCAACTTGTCTCATGATACAAATTTGAGAAAAAATGTTTGTTTTTTTTTCCATTTCCTCACTTTTCATGAATTAGGTTTGTTTGTTTGTTTGTTTGTTGTTGGTTTTTTTTTGGTTTTTTTGCTGTTTTTGTTTACTAATGTTCACCGAATACAAGGCCTAAGAGCCACTCAAGGTAGAGGGTTAGGAAAGGACAGACGTTAGGAATATAGAGCTGAAGCAGATTTATAAAAAAGAAATCGGAAACCGAATCTGAAACAGGAAGCAAGGGATAGACCCCTACTCCTGTTCAAAAGACCGGGGAGGAGTGTGAACCGGACGATAGGCGAAGCTATCTTATTTCTTATTAAGGTAACATCTTACCGGGCTCCCAGAAAGGTTTTTGGATTTCCAGAAGGGATAAATACTTTGCATAATCAGTCTTAATAAGACGAAGGCTGACTGGTGTATCGAATGCTATCAGGCCAGACTACAAAAAAAAAAAAAGAAAAAGAAAAAAGGCACATAAAACATGACAACAAGATGAAGATATTATTTATTCCCAAGAGCCACTCAAGCTAGAAGAAGAAGGTAAAAAGTGCATCTTATGAGGATATGTAGGATAGATAATGGATGACCCTAGATTTAAAGAGGTTAGGATTGTAGAGAAAGTATCATCGTGGGAGGTTTTTTTTTTCATAAAGTAGGGAAGAAGCTGTCCGACTCGAACTTCACGTTGGATACAAAGAGAAAGAGTTATTTACATTGTTTGGACTGTTGCCCTCATCTTTATTGCCATATTCACGACGTTTCGGCCATTGTAGGCTCTGGCCGTCTTCAGGGGATTGGAATTTTCGAACTGGACCCTTTATTTCGCCCACCGGGGTAGTTCTAGTTCCACGTGCCATGCCTCTTCCGGGTGTCTCAGTTATCTCCCTTTAATTCACCTCTCCAAGATTTTGTTCGCCACTGCGGTAGACAGGGATTTATTACAATGTTTCGTCCCTTCAGTATCTGTCTATATTTCTGAGATGAGGTATTATGTACACTATTTACATTATTCGGACTATTGTCCTCATCTTTGTTGCCATATTTATTACAATGTTCCGGCCCTTCAGTATCTGTCTATATTTCTGAGATGAGGTATTATGTACACTATTTATATTATTCGGACTATTGTCCTCATCTTTGTCACCATATTTATTACAATGTTCCGGCCCTTCAGTATCTGTCTATATTTCTGAGATGAGGTATTATGTACACTATTTACATTATTCGGACTATTGTCCTCATCTTTGTTGCCATATTTATTACAATGTTTTCCGGCCCCTTCAGCATCTCTGTCTATATTTCTAATCAGATGAGGTATTATGTACTAACTATTTACATTATTCGGACTAATTGTCTTCATCTTTTGTTGCCATATTTATTACAATGTTTCGGCCCTTCAGCATCTGTCTATATTTCTGAGATGAGGTATTATCCACTATTTACATTATTCGACTATTGTCTTCATCTTTTGTTACCATATTTATTACAATGTTTTCGGCCCTTCAGCATTGTCTATATTTCTGGAGATGAGGTATTATGTACACTATTTACATTATTCGGACTATTGTCCTCATCTTTGTTGCCATATTTATTACAATGTTTCAGAAGCGGGCCCTTTCAGTATCTGTCTATATTTCTGAGATGAGGTATTAGAGGTACATTATTTACATTATTCGGACTATTGTTTTCATCTTTGTTGCCATATTTATTACAATGATTTCTAGCCATTGTACGATATCCGGATACATTTCTTCAGGTGGTTGGAATGTCAAACTGAACCCTTTATTTCACTCATTGGGTAGACTTTTTCTAGTTCCACGTGCCATGTCTGAAGAATGGATGTCACTTACCAGTTATCTCCTGATTAATTTCCCCTCCGATTTATCCACTGCCTTAACCGGGTATTGAACACACACTCTTTGGGTCCTGTCATTGAATCTAACTAACGCCTTTAATTTGCCTTCAAATATTTTCTGGCGGGTTTCACATGTTATACGTGATCCTGGTTTTAAAGAGAGAAAAGAAAATAATATACACTATTTACATTGTTCAGACTATCATCATCTTTGTTGCCATATTTATCACAATGTTTCAATCATTGTATGCTCCAGCCTTCTTCAGGTGATTGGAATGTCAAACTGAACCCTTTATTCCGCTCGCTGGCGTAGACTGTTCTAGTTCCATGTGCCATATCAAATGGATGTCAGTTGTCAGTTATCTCTTGTTAATTTCCCTCTCCAAGTTTTCCACTGCCTTAACCAGGTATTGAACTCACAACTCTTTGGATGCTGTCACTGGATAGATATCTTTATTCATAAACTTAGGATAGAGATAGATAGATAGATAGATAATGAGCCATGTGTCCCCAAGGACACATGGCTCAGTGGATAGAGGCAATGATCCTATTATATATTTAGAGATTCTTAATAAAATCCAAAGAAGAATCAGCAATATTAATGGTCCTAATCTGGCATCTCGGCTTCAGTCACTTTGCTTCCCTATTCATTTTCTATAAAGATAACTGTTCGGATGAACTCTTTGCTATGGTCCCTACAGTTTTTGAATTTAAGCGCAGCACTAGATTGGCGGTTAGGTCTCATTAATTCACAGTTGAATTGGCTATATCGTCTTCAAAACGAAACCTCTCTTGTAATCGTCCGAGAGAACCGTTTTTGACTTCCATCATCATGGCTGATGCTAACCTCCAGAAGCGGGACTCATTGTATTCTCTCGTGCCAACATGAGGTGGGGGGGAATATTGAATCCATTGCTAGGCCTAAACACACACTTAGATATGAAGAGTCTAAGAAAGAGAGATAGTAAGATATTAAGAGACATAGATCTTAAGAGATTGAGATAGGTATGAAAACATAGATATGAAGAGACAGAGATAGATAGATAGATAGATAGATAGATAGATAGATAGATAGATAGATAGATAGATAGATATGAACAGACTGAGACAGATATATAGATAGATAATGAACAGACTGAAATAGATAGATAGATAGATAGATAGATAGATAGATAGATAGATAGATAGATATGAAGAGACTGGGAAAATTAGATACATCTGAACACACTCTTAGATAGATAGATAGATAGATAGATAGATAGATAGATAGATAGATAGATAGATATGAAGAGACTGGGAAAATTAGATAGATCTGAACATACTCTTAGATAGATAGATAGATAGATAGATAGATAGATAGATAGATAGATAGATATGAAGAGACTGGGAAAATTAGATACATCTGAACACACTCTAGATAGATATAGATAGATAGATAGATAGATAGATAGATAGATAGATAGATAGATATGAACAGACTGGGAAAGATATATAGATAGATAATGAACAAACTTAGATAGATAGATAGATAGATAGATAGATAGATAGATAGATAGATAGATATGAAGAGACTGGGAAAATTAGATAGATCTGAACATAGATAGATAGATAGATAGATAGATAGATAGATAGATAGATAGATATGAAGAGACTGGGAAAATTAGATAGATCTGAACATACTCTTAGATAGATAGATAGATAGATAGATATGAAGAGCCTGAGAAAAATAGACAGTAAGATATGGCTATATCATCTTCAAAACAAAACCTCTCTTGTAATCGTCCAACAGAACCGTTTCTGACTACCATCGTCACAGCTGATGCTAACCTCCAGAACAGGGACTCGTTGCATTCTCTTGGGCCAACATGAGGGGGGGGATATTGAATCCATTGCTAGGTCTGATGCAAGTAAATTTGGTTCACTGTGTCATGTTAGATATTTTTTTCTCATCCGTCGAATATTGTTGTCCCACCTGGTCTGCTTGGTATTTAGATATTCTTGATAAAATCTAAAGAAGAATCTGCTGTGTTATTGGACATGACCTGGCATCTCGGCTTCAATTATATTTCTATCGCTGTAACGTAGTGGCTCTTCTATAAATATTTTCATGAGAATAGTCCTGATGAGTTTCTTTCTTTAGTAGCTCGTTTTTACGAATGTAAGCGCAGTACTAGATTGGCAGTAAGGTCTCATCAATTCACAGTTGAATTCATTAGATGTGACCATAAGGTCTATGTTCAAATTTCTTTTCTTGCACTTCTCACTTCTCTTCCAGCTTCTAGCTTTCCAGTCGAGTTTGATCTGCGAAAATTTAAATGCAATGTCTTTTTTGGAATGATAGTATGTTTTGGCTAAATATTTAGTCACCATTATGTTGCAGGAATCAACGCTTTGAATACTAAGTACTTACAGGCTCCTGGTAAATTCATTCTATAAACAATATTGGCAGGCTCATTGTGAGCCCAGGTAAAATAAATTCATAAAACCATGGGAATGAAGGTAAAACAAATTCATAAAACCATGTGAGGCCGGGTAAAACAAGTTCCTAAAACCATGTGAGTGCCGGTAAAACAAGTTCCTAAAACCATGTGAGTCCAGATAAAACAAGTTTATAAAACCATGTGAGTGCTGGTAAAACGAGTTCATAAAACCATGTGAGTCCAGGTAAAACAAGTTCATAAAATCATGTGAGTCCAGGTAAAACAAGTTCATAAAACCACGTGGAACAAGGTAAAATAAGTTCATAAAACTATGTGAGTCCAGGTAAAATAAGTTCATAAAACCATGTGAGTCCAGGTAAAATAAGTTCCTAAAACCATGTGAGTCCAGGTAAAACAAGTTCATAAAACTATGTAAGTCCAGGTAAAAGAAGTTCCTAAAACCATGTGAGTCCAGGTGAAAGAAGTTCCTAAAACCATGTGAGTGCCGGTAAAACAAGTTTATAAAACCATGTGAGTCCAGGTAAAACAAGTTTATAAAACCATGTAAGTGCCGGTAAAACAAGTTCATAAAACCATGTGAGTCCAGGTAAAACAAGTTTATAAAACCATGTGAGTGCCGGTAAAACGAGTTTATAAAACCATGTGAGTGCCGGTAAAACGAGTTTATAAAACCATGTGAGTTCCGGTAAAACCAGTTCATAAAACCATGTGAGTCTAGGTAGAACAAGTTCATAAAACCATGTGAGTCCAGGTAAAAGAAGTTCCTAAAACCATGAGTCCAGATAAGACAAGTTTATAAAACCATCTGAGTGCCGGTAAAACAAGTTCGTAAAACCATGAATATAAAAAAAATGTGATGGACATTTTTTTTGTATATGCGTGTGTGAGCGTGTTCAAAAGTCAGCAGAGGATCTATTATGGCGACCGATGAAGGATGGTAGGGGGTGTCAGGTACTTTCTGGGATGGTGCAAGGAACTGAACAATTAAGAGGGCATTTGGGAATTTTTACTGACAGAGAAATTTCCAAGAATGAAATCGAACGAAGAATAAAATCCCAAGAACCGTCCGGAGAGTCGTGCGCTTTGGTTGCATTCTTGTTAGAATTTTAACCATTTTAACCATTTTTTGGACTTCTGCAGATAGATGGGCCTGAAGAGGATCTTTTATCAAAGTTTGTTTGCAACAATATTGTACAAAAGAAAAATTGCTGACATCAAATCAATATCTGTCTGACTTTCCTCTGTTTATAGATCTCTCTCTCTCTCTCTCTCTCTCTCTATATATATATATATATATATATATAGATAGATAGATAGATAGATAGATAGATAGATAGATAGATATGAAGAGACTGAGATATGGAGAGATTGAGGTAGATATGAAGAGATAGATAGATAGATAGATAGATAGATAGATAGATAGATAGATAGATAGATAGATATGAAGAGACTGAGATATGAAGAGACTTAGATAGATAGATAGATAGATCTGAAGAGACTAAAATAGATAGATACATACATATATAGATAGATAATGAAGAGATAGATAGATAGATAGATAGATAGATAGATAGATAGATAGATAGATAGATAGATAGATAGATATGCATGAAGAGACTGAGATATGGAGAGATTGAGATAGATAGATAGATAGATAGATAGATAGATAGATAGATAGATAGATATGAAGAGACTGAGATATGAAGAGACTTAGATAGATAGATAGATAGATAGATAGATCTGAAGAGACTAAAATAGATACATACATACATACATACATACATACATAGATAATGAATAGATAGATAGATAGATAGATAGATAGATAGATAGATAGATAGATATACATGAAGAGACTGAGATATGGAGAGATTGATGTAGATATGAAGAGATAGATAGATAGATAGATAGATAGATAGATAGATAGATAGATAGATATGAAGAGACTGAGATATGAAGAGACTTAGATAGATAGATAGATAGATAGATAGATAGATAGATAGATAGATATGAACCAAGAGATAGATAGATAGATAGATAGATAGATAGATAGATAGATAGATAGATAGATATGAACCAAAATCGACATGGACAGACTGAGACACATAGATAAATATAAATATCTGAACGACCCCAGATTATTTTAAACCAGTCTCATACTCTACCTGATGGCTTACAAGCATTTCCACAGTAATGGCTTCTTTCCCGTTCTGTGCAAACTCAGGCCAATAATGGCATACTGGCTTTTTATAGTCAAGGTAACCCCTAAAATTAAAAAAAAAAAAATTAAAATAAATAATGTTCAATAAACAGTCCACGAAATAAAGGCAATCATTACATGGCCTGAAATATTCAGATGAGTATCTTTGTTGTTTCTATCACAGTAATCTGAATCTCCCATGTATTGTCTCTCTACACAATGAAGATGGATTCCCCCCCCACTAATGAGACTAAAGAGCCATATCACTTTCAAACAGAGGTTCTTGTCCAGTTAGCAAAGTTAGGATTTTCTTCTCTTAGGCTTGTTGCCATGAACAGTGAAACAAGAATACTAGATTAAATAAACAGTTCAGTTCGCACTTCTCTGGAGGTTACCTGAATCGACAGAAACCTGAAGAAGTTGGGCACAATGGCTGAAACATTGTAACAGTAAAAACAAACATGTGGACATTTGATAAGTGTTGTGGTGTCCTCCCTCTAAAGAATCTATGTTGGACTCTTCCGCCTACTATAAGATTAGTAGGAGAGAAGGCCTTGGGGGGGGGGAACAGTCGAACAGATCTGTTCGTACTGTGCCGGTCAAACACTCTGCCTCCGGGCAAAGAGTATCCCCAGACGAGGCTATGTCGAAGGGCAGAGTCTGGTTTCGGGAAAAAGCTACCCGACTTCGTTTTTATTCGGGGTCTATGGGAAATTTTAGGCCGAGCCTACAGGCTCGGATTGCCGCACATTAAACTCGGCCTAGTGCCACATCTGACCTCGTGGGGAGGCTGGTAAATATCAACAGTCGAATAGATTGAACGCTGGGTCAACCGACACGCATTCACTAGTCGTGTAATACTCTTGTGTTGTACTCATTGTTTAATATATGATATATCTGTTACAGCTTTTTTGTTATTTCTTTAACGATTTACTTGGTCACATTTTGAAGAAACGGACTTCACGTTAAATCGAAAAAAAAACGCCGGATATAAGAGACCCGGATATAAGAGAAACTAGGATATAAGAGAGATTTTCTCAGGTCCCAAATTAGAGCCTGTGTTAATGTATATAAATTAGACCAAACCCGGATATAAGAGAAACCCGGATATAAGAGAGATTTTCCCTGGTCCCAAATTAGAGCCTGTGTTAATGTATATAAATTAGACCAAACCCGGATATAAGAGAAACCCGGATATAAAATAGATTTTCCTTGGTCCCAAATTAGAGCTGTGTTAATGTATATAAATTAGACCAAACCCGGATATAAGAGAAACCCTGATATAAGAGACTTCTTCTTCGGTCCCGAAAACTCTCTTATATCCGGGTTACACTGTATATAGCTTTTTCAAAGTGGTTAGTGCTGATTTATTTATTTTTTTTTTGCTGTTTTAGTGTAAAAAGGGTTTATTTTGTTGAATAAAAAGTATTGTGTGGTACTTATAAAAAAAAAAACACTTCATCCGGATTCAGGCTGAAAAGTCGGGTATTGTGGTGTCCTCACTCTAAAAAGTCTATGTTGGACTCATCCGCCTACTATAAAATTAGTAGGAGAGAAGGCCTTGGGGGAACAGTCGCATAGATTGTTCAACTGTCCAACTCTCTGCCTCGGCAGAGAGGAACTCAGACGAAGCTTTGCCGAAGGGCAAGGTTTCGTCTGGGGTGGTAGACAGGCCCTGAACCTGTCTAGGCGGGTTCAAAGGGTATTTTTTAGGCCGGGGAAACCCACGTTAAACTCGGCCTTGTGCCACATACATTCCTTGTGGTGGGGACTGTTAAATATAACAGCCGCATAGATTGTTCATCTGTCGAACTCTCTGCCTCGAGCCGAGAGGAACCCGGATGAGGCTTTGCCGAGGGGCAAAGTTTCGTCCGGGGAGGTAGACAGGCCCTGAACCCCTTTATACGGGTTCAAAGGGAATATTTTTAGCCGAGCCTACGGGTTCAGAGAACCCACAGTAAACTCGGCCTTGTGCCACATACATCCCTCGTGTGTGTGGAGGGGGGCTGTTAAATATTAACAGTCGAATAGATTGAACGCTTGGTCAACCGACACACACACTCACTAGTCATGTAATAATTTTCTGTTGTACTTACTGTTTAATATATATATATATATATATATATATATATATATATATATATATATCTGTAAAACGTGTTTTGTTATTTCTTTCACCATTTACTTGGTCACAACAATAAGGATAACTTCTCAACCCAGAAATTCAAAAAGAAATACTTACAGCTCAACAAACTTGGCAACAAGTAAGGCATTAATTCCTTTGGAGGTAGAGAAGGCAGTTGACATGGTATTCTCTCGCCAAGGAATCCTCCCCGTCCGGTTCGCATAACCTCCCCATATATCAACAACCAATTCACCTTTGTAATAAACTGCAAAAGCGGCTCCCGTTTCTGCTCCACTCTCGAAACTTTCCCTAGAAAAGAAAAAAAATTAAAATTCCTGTTAATGAACATCACCAATCTGGTTCTAATACTTCTTCATGAGTAAAAAGTGTTACTTTTAATTTTCTACGTATAGATAAAAGTTCGTTTTTTTTAAAATTTCGCTCATTAAGGTGTGCCACCTACATAGCTCTTCCGACAGAACCTGGGCAAATAATTGGTAACTAGATATTTGTATAGCAATACAACTATGATCAGGGCACTTACCTAGAATAGAATACCAAATGAGTATTTTGCGATTTTATGACCAGCAGTAAAGTCTGCGAAACAAGATCTTCAAAGCAGCCACCCACTTGACCAAAATAAGGAATAACTAAGTAAATGAAAACTTATTGAATCAAGTGTTGCTTCAACGGACATTAGAAATTTCAGTAGTTCTGGATCGTTCATTGCCAGGGATAGGCTGTCCGTTGAGCTCTTTTCAATGCCCGCTAGAGTTGCCAACTGCATGTCATGATGTAGGGGTGGGTGGAGAGTGAGAGGAGAGAGTCAATTTCGCTGGTTGAAGGAAAAAGCTGATCCACAGTCTGTCGTGTCAGATGATGTCCTAAGAGCCAACTATCTAACCGGTCATCCAGACCATACAAGCGAATCCTTGAATAAATAACCAAATTACTTAAAACAGGATTCGAGCTTTCATTTCTCGTCATAGCAACTATTGCATTTTTTGCTCCCCGTTTCCTATGGCGGACCATTTTCAATTCTTGTGCACAGCGACACGAGAATGAATAGAAACTCCAGTTAGGGGTTATTTGTCCAGTCGATGAAAAGCTGAAAGAGAGAGCTTTATTAAAGCAAAATCTTTTTGAGTTCATTCTTAGCACATAAAAAGCTAACAAAAACAAGCAATTTAAAGTGCTCCATATAATTTAAACAGCAATAAATTACAGAGCGGATCAAATAAGATATGAAATAAAAACGAAAATGCAGTTATGTCTATATTTCTAAAGACGAGGTACTGTAATTATTTACATTGTTTGGACTGTTGCCCTCATCTTTATTGCCATATTCACGACGTTTCGGTTGTTATACGCTCCGGCATTCTTCAGGATTTTTCTATATTTTTGAGATGAGGTATTGTAATTATTTACATTATTTACATTCTTCAGACTGTTGTCCCTATCTTTATTGCCATATTCCCAACGTTTCGGCCGTTGTACACTCTGGCCTTCTTCAGGATCTGTCTATATTTCTGAGATGAAGTATTGGAATTATTTACATTATTTACACTGTTCGGATTGTTGACCTCATCTTTATTGCCATGTTCGTGACATTTCAGCCGTTGTAGACTCCAGCCTTCTTCAGGTGATTGGAATTGACTTCCCGTCAATTCGAGGAGAACTCGTCTGGTCGCAGCAAAAGCGGGACACGCCCTTGTTCGAGAAAGGATCCAGTACAGCCGTTGGGAACACAATAACCATCTTCCACGGGCTCGAGGCCTTGTTCGACAAAAATTTACCGAAGAAGAAGACCAAAAGAGTATCCAGTATGATTTGGATAAATCCTTCAGATACGAATTCGATGCATTCAAGGCACACCAAGTGCAAAGATTAAACAGACTGATAGATCAGAAGGTGATGCACAAGGTCCATCACCCCGCAATGAAGACGGTAACCAATGCCAATTCCGTGTCGCTGATTAGTCAGTACTAAATAAGGGCTTCAACTTCCCCACGATCATAATTGGCCATCATTAGCCGAATCGAGGAAATAGCCTTGAACATTCCTCAAGCTCAGGTCAAGCCAAGTCGCCCAAACCAAAATATCACAAAACCGGAGAGGCCGGAAATCAGAACCCTACAAAGGAGTGAAAGCATCATCATACCACCAGCTGACTATAGGAATTGGAGAATTGTAAGGGTTAAAAACGTGAAAACATGAATTGAAATAGGGAGCGAGGAACAAAAAGAGTCAGTTTTTTTTCCTGTTAAATTGAAAAGCAAATACAATTGTCATAAATCGCAAAGCCAATAATGTAAACAAGTGTCGTTTTATAAGATAGGTAGAAAATTATTTGGATTGTATTGGCAAATTGATAACAAAGTTTTTAATCAGTCATATTGAAAAAACGACAACAAAGAAAATTCTTTGACGTCAAGGACATAGAAATAATTTTTAAACACAAAAGTTTTTTATCGGAAAATTACTGTTTTGAAT